AGGCTAGAAGATGCCAAAGGAAGATAGGTGGAAGAGCTGCCAAGTGTTTTATGGACGTACTGAACCACACCTTGGCGCTCAACTGGAGAAACTCGGTTCGCATTAGCCTACAGGATGGAGGTGGTAATTCCACTTAAGATTGGGTTGCCAACGTTGAGAACTGAGCTTGTTGAAAGCATGCCACCATCACTCGGGACCTTGATTTAGCCGAGGAGAAAATAGAGCAAGCAGCAATACAGATGACTTATTATCAGCAGCATATATCTATATCTCTGGCATCACTATAGATATAGCTTTAGCCATTGCTTGATCTTGGTTAGTGAAAATGGTAATAGGCTTCTTCCTAGACATTGTTTGTAGGAATGTCTCAAACAACCACTGAAATGATGTTACAGTTTCAACATACAATAATGCAGCACCAAATATCACCGTCTCCCTGAACTGGTTGAATCAAATCAAAATGCCTAAGGGTCAGTACTCCTTGTTTGTTTGGAATGTTGTGTCAAATGTGACAACATCCCCAAAGTGGCCATAATCAATAATCATCCTTGGATCAGCCCAAAAAATATTTGTTACACGTTTTTCGACATCCAATTGGACTCCATAATAAAATGATGAATTCTTAGTTGCTTATGCTTGAAAATATTGCAACAAACTACCCGTTTCACCGTATTTCAAGTCTCACTGCCTCCTTTCTCAAATGTAATTTTTTTGGTCTTGATGAGTGAACCCTAAGCTTTCTCTCCCACATGCTTGGATACTCAAAAGCTCATAAGACGCCTTAAGTGATATCCCACAATCCTTAGCAGTATCAACATCGATGCCTTGAGCTACAGTAACTTTCCGTTGGGATGGCATCATATGCATACATTTGGCCAAGTGCAAAATGTGATTATGTTGGTCTTCCCATTTAACAACAATAAATTTTTTAATATTTCTCCTGAAGGATATGCACATGTGAGCGGGGCAATTTGTTCGAGTCTCTACCCAAGTCTTTGTTGTTTTTCAATCCCTTTGATCTTTACTCCTTTGTCCCTGTTTACAACATACGTATTTTTTGTAAATCAATACACCATTCTTCAAGCTCTTGTTGTGATAATCTTTTCTCACACTGAATCCCACAATTCCACCATAATTGTTATAGAACCTATAAGCATCTTCTTCCGAGTCAAATTGCATTCTTATACATGGAGTATTATCTACTTTATCAATCTCAATATATTTCATATTGACTATAGATTATGTCCCCTATAGTAACCAAACAGTTACACAAATTAAACATATGATAAAAAAATGCCCATATAAATTTTCAATTGCAAATGGAACAAGTAAATACTTATTTTCCTATAAACAAGAAAATCTTATGTATCAAAGCCTATATAACTCAGTTTCACCAAAGCCTAAAACATCAATGCTAGGTATGTTAATGGACCGAAGCAGGGGCGGGGGTATAATCTTCATTCTCATACCCGCTTAAAATATCTTCGTCCATCCCCAGTTCACCCCCGCTAGCGAGTATAATTTTAATCCTCATCCCCGTCCACAGATAAATTTATAATCTCCGTCACCTCTTCTCCTGTACCTGCCCAAACCCAAGCCCAAGCATAATCGTTAATGCATTTGACGACCCCCCCAGTTGTTTGCCCACATAACTTGCAGAATAACACAAATGTCTAGAACAACTCTAAAACTTATGGTTTGTCTTAGAAGGTAGTAGGTTGAATTATTGCCACCACATTATGTTCACTACAACAAGTAATAAGAGTGATACCATTGAAAAAGATGATAGATGTTTTTGGGTAATGAGGCAATAGTTTATAGCCCACTTAGATCAAACATCACATAGTAATAAGAGAAACACCCACAAACACTACTAACAAAAAACACGGCCTTGGCATCTGTCCGATGTGGAAAATATGTTATTCAGAATAAGAATTCAAAAATTTGTTGGAAAAAAAAAAAAGAAAGGAAAAAAGCATCAAATACAAAGCTAAAATACATGCTAAAACAAAGAAAATCTAACAAAGGGGGTTTGGAAGGCACATCTACACCACTAACATCATATCTCAAGGAAGCCAAGTTAAATCCTCACCATAGTTCTTCAACTCCATAACTTAACATATACAATATTCAGCTGTCTGGAGATCAACTCCATATATTGAAGTTTGTACCATCTGTGCGTGTGAGAGACAGAGAGAGAGGGGGCAGCGTTGATTGAGAAAGAGGAGTAAGTTAGGCCTAAGTTTTTAATTGAGAGTTTATATATATATATATATAATGGGGACAGGACGGGGCGGAGGTAAGGGTAAATCCATCCCCACCTTCATCCTTGCACAGGTTTATATAGGTATTGTCGTATATGTCCACCGTCTAATACGTATAGTCCATCCCCGATTCAAACGAAACAGATTTTGAGGAATACCTATTTTTTCCGGTCCACTACCATATATTCATATATCAAACAATCAAATATACTCACAAAAATGCAGTAGAAAGAATGATGGTAGTCACATAATTCTATCAAGATTTTACATGAAATTTAAAAAAAAATTCTGAATTTTATGAACTGAAATTTCATAAAAAAATCTAAAAAAATATCAACATTACCCACTGCATGGTTGGATCCTTCTTATCCTCAAGATTTGAATAATGAACATAATGAAGCACGAAGGGTTGAAGATAATGAAGGACAAAGAATATAAAAATTTATGGTGATAAATTCCATCGCTTACAAAAAACCAAAGATAATAGTAATATAACAAAATTTATGTTGATGCAATAAAGATCATACAACAGAATTAATTTTGATGCAATAAATATGATATAACATAAAATTACCTGAAAAATTTTTCAGGATGTTGAGTGGAACAAGAAGAAAATCACAGCTTTGTGAGATTTTTGCATTTGGTGCAAAAATAACTTTGCGGGAGAACTTGGAGGGATTGTACTATGTTTTGCTTTTTGCATAAGGAGGGTAAGAGCAATGACGTCGTTATTGGTGAATGCTAGGTTCTTGTGGGCTCAAGGTTTTTGAGTTAAACCGCATCATTGCGAGTTTGTTTGTTGGACAGTGCATTTTGGTCAAAACAGTATCGTTGCTCTTAACAGCACGTTGTGCTATTAAACCGTCAATTGTAGAGGAACCAAACCCGAAATGAAGAGAGAGTGTGAAAAGCGCCAAATCTGCTATCGTTGGAGAGAGAAGCGCCGGATTTACTTGAAGGGGGAGAATCGCCTGAGATATGGGAGTCCACGTGAGAGAGAAAGAGAGAGAAACGGCTTAATTTGGGTGCCAAGAGGTGAAAGAGAGAGAAGCAAGTTTGAAATGAGGAATTAATAGAGAGTATGAAAGAGAAATTTGGACATAAACAAACTTGTGAAAAGTAAATACTATACTCAAATTTGCATTCTAAATGAAGGACACTATTGGACGAGTGAATCTCATCAACTTTTTAAAATGAGACTCACTGATTCAATGGTCCCCTTTTATTTGAAATGCAAATTTGAGTTACAAATTTGAGTTACATAACGTTACTCTTAAATTAAATTTTAAGACATTTGAATAAATTCGGACCACAGAAAATAAAAATTATTTTTTATAGCTTTTAAAATTTAAAATGCTTCATATTTATTATATAGATCGTCTTAAAATTATCAAGAGTCTCAGGACTAGTCTTTTTAAGAATTAGGACTGAAAAAGTATTGTTAATTTCTTTTGTGCGAATTACACTTTATGCCACAAAAAATTTAATAATTCTCACTTTATAATCTGAAAGATTAAATTTTTAACATTGTATCTATAATGTATTAAAAATATTGCAACGTGATCATGTTATTGCTCATTCCATCGATGTTAATAGGAAGATTTTTGATGGAATGAACAACAAAAACTAATGGCAATACCACATTTCCATAATTTTAATACATTTGACATTGAAACATGGAAAGTCAAATCGTGGAGCATTCAAAAAAAAAAATTTAAAATTTTTTGGGTTACAAAGTATAATTTCCTCATTGGAATAGAAATGCCCACCAAACCCCAGAATTGTTGATTAGTACATCCGTCCGAGAGGATTCTAAAGCCTGTGTGTGAAAACCGATTGTCATTACTACATCAGCAATAAATCGCTGATCAAGTGGATGACATAAAGATTAGAAAACAAGTAGTAAAAAATGGGTCAATCAGGACAAGGAGTATAAAATGTCCGCTGGAGCCGATGCCGTTGGGAAATGAAGACGAAATAACTAATTACCATTGACCAGTGCCCATCAGAACAATATAAATTCTTATTCTGAGATTGGAGCATGGTGACCAGAGCATGAATATACTTGGTATTACGTTAATCTCATCAACTTTTTAGAGCAAATTTAATGCCTTTTCAGATGTAGAACCACCCGAAATAACAGAGGCGACGATTGGGTAGTGCCAAGCGTTTTGAATCAGAACACAAGCAGCACAGATCTAACTCGTATGAAAGGTACAAGCAGTTGCTTAACAGATTCTCAAATTTAAACTTAACCACTATAATGTACCCTACCCTACCTTTCGGAAATATGAGATCTTGTTTCAAATGCTCCGATATTTGTTGTTCTTGGACGCTCCCATAGAGAACACTTAGATGTACATGCCTAAACTATGCCCCCTGGAAAAAAAAAAAAAAAAGAAAAAAGGAATCCTAGTTACTACACTCCATAGGCATCTGCTTCCACAGAAAATGGAGATGCCCCAGACTGTTTAACCTTGCCGAATGTTTGTTTAACCAGACTACAAGGGGTATAATTCAGGTACGTACAAGGTTGACTCAAACGTTTGATGTACATGTTGCCTATCATTCTTGGCCACCAATTATAGGGTTAAACAAAAAATAATTCGTCACTAATGTGAGACAGTCAAATTCAATTCAATATCGGTCAATAATATCCATATCAAGATTATCATGTGCCATATCGGGCCTCTCAATTTTAACATGGTAAAAGAAATTATTACTACCCCAAAAAAGGCCAAATCAGAGGTACCCTGGGGAAAGAAAGTGTCATCGAGGCATCCATTGCGAGTATACTCACCATCTCTATCCTTGCCACATATCTTGATTGTGCTAGTGATTGGGAAGAACTCATTCTCGCCAAGACAATTTCCCCGACTCAATGGCATTATGTTTCGCAGAAGCCTCCGACTAGATGGGGCCGCATCCCAAAGTAGCCTAAACCTAGAAAAACAAAAGACATGTGATCCCACAGGCCACATGATCTTGACCAACCCCTATTCACAGCAAGACAATGGACGGTGCATCTCAAGCTTCCATCATGTGTATGTTCAGAGGATGTATAGCACCCTTCCAGGGAATAGCGCCATGTATTGTGAGCCCGTTGTCCCTAACTGACATCTGCCGGCTACCCCTGCAATTGAAAATGTGAACTCTAGGGCATTGTCCATCATCAGGATCTGAACCCAAGCACACATCAATCAGATGACAGATGAAATCTAAATGGTAACTATTACGGATTGAAATAACAAAGTGAGGGCTTCTTTCACTTGCACACCAGCACCACGACATTAATCAAAACTAAATTAGTGGTTTTAACTGTTGAGCACACAATTGGCCTTGCCAGGACTGTTGGTTCAAATACAGGTTTGACTGAGTTGTTTAATGACCGATCCATTCAGAAGTAAGAACATATTTGACCTTAATCTCATTTTAGGATATTCCCAGAGGACTTGTAATTACACATTCCAGCTCAATCATTTAAGGAATTCATCCCAACAGAAGAAAAATAAAATCGAACAAAATTTTGGAACTTGCAAGAACCTCCCCCTTTTGCAGCCACATTCATCTAGTCTCATGGGAATGCAGGTCCTCACTTTTAATTTATTTTAACATGTCCCCCAAGATTTATGTCATATGACAGTCGAAGTTGCACATTACATGGTTTCAAGTAGGTATGGTTTAGGAAATATGATCCAGCCATTACACTGTAGAATGACTGCAGTTTTCCTTTCTAAAGTACAACATCAATATAAAAAAAATGTTATTAAAAAGAACCACCCATTCACCACCAACCTATGTGTACCACATTTATGAACTCCCTATCTCTCTGGGTTTTATGTTGCCCTACCGAAACCGAGCCACTGCCTGTTTGCAAGAGGTATAGTATTTGAGGAAGCAATACCAGAGAAACACAAAAGCCCTGAAATTGCACCCATAATGCATAGCATTTCAAATACCAGTATCTGCATGGGTATCTCAGACCAGAACCTTACTTGAGCTGGATCTGCTCTGGAAGCCCATACTTTTGTATCCCTGAGTTCCAACAAGAATTTTCAACAAGTTTCATATACTATGGTATTCAACTCATTTGCTTATATGGAGATATGAAAGCTTGACCAGGAGAATACATACTTTGCAGATCGTCTCACTTTGTTCGGACAAGTTCCAGCGGTACACTTTCCATTGCTACCTGAGTTTCAAAACAAATAATTTGAGATTCAGCAGATAGTTGCACAGTCGGTGACTAACTAAACTGATGCTTACCCACAGTCTAGGAGTTCTGGGATCAAATTTTGGATGCAACTTTAATAGCTCCGAATGAAACGTGATGACGATGGAAACTTTAAATTCAATGGAAAATGGACTGCACAGAGTACGTTAGAAATTAAAATTTATATTATAAACTCATTCTTATGGTTGTTCGCATCTAAATAACATCTATATAATAAAGTACAAACGATTTCAAATTCCCCCAAGAATAAAAATGACTTTGGTTTTTCATGGTTGATATCGTTTCTGAATGAATCCAAAATCAATCTAATAGCTGAAGATAACTCCTGAAAAATAAGTTCCTACTCAAGAACTTTCCATATCCAAACCCCTTAATCACGCCTTTTCTCTCTGTCCGAGTCTCGTGTATTCCCTTTCCCCAATCTCCTATCTGTCTATCTCTCTCTGTCTGTCCTTTTTTATCATTCTCGCCCGCCACTCCCTCTTGCCCCCATCTCTCTTTCCTGCCGCAACACCGTCGAATCCTAGCACCCCAGCAACGGTTCTACTTTCAGTTAACTCTCTCTCTCTGCCTTCCCTCTCCCCCCACCTCAAATTACCCTCCCACACCCGCCCGCCTTCAACTAAAAACCCCACTCCCCCCACTCACCCCATCCCCGGTGCCCCACCCAACAAGTCTACTGCCTAGTCACTGCCACTGCCGCCTAGAGACTCTCCCTCCCTCAGTGACACCGCATTCTTGCTCCTCTCTTTGCCTATTCTCTCTTCGCCACACCCACTACGGCCACCCAACTACTCCGGCGACAACCCAGCAACAACCAACGATTTGCAATAGTTAAGTTTGAATTTCTTCTCAGTAGCCATCGAATCATAACCACCATCGACGACACACTCATTGTCCAGGTATCCCGGTGACTATCACTCCACATTAGCCATCGAACCATAACCAGCCGCTGGATACACCGTCACGCCCTTCCTCCCAGCCACCACTACAGCCCATCACTGTCCGAAAGAAAAACTCAAGATTTTGGGAAAATCCTAGATTTAAGGGATTTTAAGAAACCTAAATTGATGAACCTGAAGAGGTTAAGCATATTGTTATCAATCACTTTCAAAGTCTACTAGGTGAAATGGCTCCTTATTCACTTTATAGAGATGAAGTACTTGGCAACCTCCCTTGGAAGCAACTCTCAGTGGAGCAATCACTAAACTTGGCTAGAGATATCAATGATGAAGAGATCAAGAGAGCGGTATTCTCAATTCATTCCAACAAGGCTCCAGGACCCGATGGTTTTAGTGGTCACTTTTACATAGCTGCTAGGTCTATCATTGGGAGAGACATTTGTGTTGCAATCAAAGATTTCTTCACAAGGGGTCAAATTTTGAGGGAAACAAACTCCACTATTTTGGCCTTGGTTTCTAAAGTTCTCACCCTGAAAAAAATGGGAGACTTTAGGCGCATTTCTTGTTGTAACACGATGTATAAATTCATTTCTAAGATAATTGCTAACAGATTCAAGGCAGTTCTCCATGAAGTTGTGACCCATAACCAGGCTGTTTTTGCCTGGAAGGAGGATGTGAGGGATTACCACAAAGATAGAGGTTCTCCTAGGTGTGCTATAAAGGTTGATCTTATGAAAACCTTTGACATGGTTGATTGGGGCTTTATAACATCTGTATTGAGGTTCAACTTTCCAGCAAACATGATTGCATGGATACAAAACTGCTTGTGCACATCAAAGTTTTTCATCTCTCTTAAAGGTGAACTAGTTGGTTTTTTCTAAAGCAAAATGGGAATAAGGCAGGGTGACCCTATGTCCCCTTTCTTGTTTGTACTTGCTATGGCGGTTGTTTCCCATATCCTTAATGCTGAAATCTTAGCCAGTAACACCTTTAAGTATCATTGGATATGTAAGAAGCAAAAATTAGTCCATTTATGCTTTGTTCATGATTTAATACTCTTTATTCATGGGAATTCAACTTCAGCTGTAACTCTAAAGAAAGAAATGTTAGAATTTTTAGGAATGAATACGAGGATGTAGCAATCATCTTCAAATCCATTATTTAAGTGATCAAGTGCAAACGTATCACTGTTAACTACCAGCATACTCCATTGAACTTAGCCTTCCTTCAGATGTGGAGTTCCTCAGCCTCTAATGCTCTTGCTGGACTATAAGCTTTTTTTGCTTCCTTTGTATTACCTAAACTGATACAAGTCCTATTATTTTGTAGTACTTTTACCAATTTGAATTTCTTTTGATTTAGTTGTCATTTGATAGCCAAAAGACAACAATTTACTTGTACACTTTGCAAAGATTAATGAACATATTTACTTACCCAAAAAAAAAACCTACAAAAGTTGAAGATTTGTAGAGTATTCTATAGAAAGAAAAAACCGATATTTTGATTAATGGAGAGGCGTGCAGAGTTTTGTTGGTTTTAATTTGGGCATTGTTATAGCAACTTGGTGGATTGAGTATCTTTGTTATTGAGTAAATGGAACCCACCCTCGGTCGAGAATTTCATATAGACTCGCCCCTAAGTGGTGAAATTATCAACTATTGTAATTCAAGCTAAGATGGTACAAAATGCAAGGTTTTCATAGGCCATCCAATGATGCATGCTATATGACATTTAAATTGTCACAAATTTACTGAAATTTCAATTTTGGGTAGTTCTTTTTATGGACATCTACTATCAACTAAAATTTTGTTGTGACTAATGGTAGTTTTTTATAATGCCCCATGAAATTGGATGGCTTGATCTAATGCGTTTCTTGAACAGCAAATCCCTATTCATGATAATTCAATATCATCGTGCTAGTGGAATCCTCTAATCGCTCTAATTTATATTCTAATATCCTAGAGCCACGATTAGTGCCTTGATTTTATAGAGGTAGATTCATAGAGCCCTACCAATTTTTCCAACTGAGGGTGGAATAGATTGTTCGGGGCACCAAGGCCATTGAAAGATGATATAGAGAGAGAGAGTTCTACACATATATATGAGATGCCCATGCTCATGCTAACTATTTTGTCATGTATGTGCGAGGGGATTGAGATTATCTTTTTAGCAACTCTCATATGCACCACTCTAGGCCCTTATCCAAGGAAGAGAATAATGGCCCAAGTGCAAGATCTGAGGAACAATTGCCTCCTGCTCATGTTTTGGCTACTGAATTGTAGTGTATTTCTCATTTTGATCATTGGACCACCCTGAGATTTTATAAAAAATTCTTTATTCCAGATTATAGGATATTGAATCTAATAGCCAACTATAACATTGACTCGAAATCCCATATTTTTTACTTTCTTGTCCATAGAGCACATTGGACTAGATTAAATCTTGACCTACCTTTGATGATATTGGGATCGATTCAGCGAGCCTTTGAGGAAGGGAGAATATCTGATGGCCTATCTTTTGGGTCATTGATTACTCGTATCTATAGAGCCAAGAGTGTAGTGGTTTTGCCCAGGGACAAGAAGCAATACCCTAAGAGGCTTTTGAATAAGAGCACATTGAAGCTAAACAAGGCCTAAGTTGAGTATATTATAGTTGTTGAGCATAAGATGAGACGAGGACTCCACAAGTTGATACTAGACCTCGTGCACCACCAACTCACCCAGAGGTCAGTAGTCCTAGGCCACCACCACCTAAGTTATAGGTTCACACATCCTAGCTGCCTAGTTGGAGTCACTAGTGGACATGCTTACAAGGGCTATAGTAGAGCATCACGCCTCACTTCTCAGAGGTTAGATGCATTGGATAGAAGGATCGTGAACCTTGGAGAGTCCAAGCAGTCTGTGATGGGATTAGTTGCACATAGAGTTGGGAGACTTATGAGATTGCTTAAGGGCAAACAGATTGAAGGTGAGCCAGTATCAAATGACACTAATTCAAATCTAGAGCTAAACCGAAATGATGGTAATGATAGTGGCAAAAGTGGAGACTTTAGTATAGGACCATAAAGGAGTTTTTAGTGTTATTATTCATTCATGGTCTGTACTTAAAGTACTCTATTTTTT